GTTACCTCAAAGAAGTGTTTGTTAGGAGACATAAAGATCTTATGTCTGCTCTTACAAATGCATTATATAAGCTGATCTTCATTTCTGTAAGACTGTTATTGATGCTGTTGTTCCATCATTTGAGTGGTATTGTTGTTGCTGTCTAATGCATTATATAAGCTGATCTTCATTTCTGTAAGGCTGTTATTGATGCTGTTGTTCCATCATTTGAGTGGTATTGTTGTTGCTGTCTAATGCATTATATAAGCTGATCTTCATTTCTGTAAGGCTGTTATTGATGCTGTTGTTCCATCATTTGAGTGGTATTGTTGTTGCTGTCTAATGCATTATATAAGCTGATCTTCATTTCTGTAAGGCTGTTATTGATGCTGTTGTTCCATCATTTGAGTGGTATTGTTGTTGCTGTCTAATGCATTATATAAGCTGATCTTCATTTCTGTAAGACTGTTATTGATGCTGTTGTTCCATCATTTGAGTGGTATTGTTGTTGCTGTCTAATGCATTATATAAGCTGATCTTCATTTCTGTAAGGCTGTTATTGATGCTGTTGTTCCCTCATTTGAGTGGTATTGTTGTTGCTGTCTAATGCATTATATAAGCTGATCTTCATTTCTGTAAGGCTGTTATTAATGCTGTTGTTCCATCATTTGAGTGGTAGTGTTGTTGCTGTCTAATGCATTATATAAGTTGATCTTCATTTCTGTAAGGCGGTTTTTGATGCTCTTTTTCCATCATTTGAGTGGTATTGTTCTTGCTCTGTGTTCATTATATTTCTTCATCATTGCTGCATGTGACAGTTAGTGCCAGGGCATTCTTGTTAAATGGCCAAACCATTTCATCTGTTGCTCTTTAATCAACTGTGTGACTGGTTTCAGTCTTAATATTCTGATTTCTTAATTTGTATCTCTTCTTATTCTAAAGCATCTTTGTATGCTCATTAAATGTATTCAAAGTCCACATCTGACATTGGTAGTGTCAAATCAGCCCTAAATATAGTTATTTGATATACCTACATCATCGTCTTCATATCATCAAAAAAAAATGTATTGTCACATTCAACCAGCATTTCTAAAAAGGGAGCTTTTGGTTATAATTGTGACATATTATTTGTGCCATATAAAAGAGTTTAGCATTGCTCGGCAGTGTTGATGCCATCAAAAGAGACAGACCCAAATACTGTCCAGACCGGCGACAAAGTCATCTACTGGCCAGACAATGGGCGACCAGTGGCCTATATGTGTTTTACCTATGTAGACAGAGGGTATCCTTTTATGTTTGTCAACTATGGGTTGAGTTGTACATGATTTAATTTTTTTATTTCTGATTTTTTTTTCCAATCTACTGTATGTTGATTTCTCTATTCATTCTTCCTTCTGTTGTGAAAATGGACCCAAGATATTGAAATTCACTTTCCAAAGTCCTTAAGGCAGATACAGTTAGCCTGCAGACCCTTGTTGAAAAGTGGAATATATTACTAATATTGATGTCTTCTTTCGACATTTTAATGTGTATGTGTGCTTGAATATCAGGGCTTTTATTTCTGGCTGTGCGCAACAGTATGCAGTGCCGGCACCTATTTTTAGGCATAATCTTCTCAGCACTACTGTAATAGAACTTTGTAGTGAGTACTGGCACTTTTTTTTTTCCAGACATGTGATGGTGAGTACAGCACCGTTTTCGGAGAGAGGGGGGGGGGGGAGGGCCTAATGAAGACAAGTTGTACTATTTAGTCAGATATTGCTTATTTGCAGTATCAGATATAACTGGATTTATCAGTTTTAACATTGCTAAGCTTCTGTAGAAAAAAAAGCAAATGAAATGTTGTAGTTGTTTAGATGAATGGCGCCCCCTGTTGTATATTTATCATATTTATTTGTTCTTCTATACATATCGTGTCTGTTAATTTTGAAATTGCATAATATGAAAAGTACAAGATTTACGTTATTGTTGTTTACATGTGTTATATTTAATTTATTTAAATGTTTATTATTTATGCAGGGATCCGCAGTGGCATAGCAGCTAGATGCTCCACTTCCGCCTGAAGATTTTGGGTTCAAATCTGCAGTTAGTCTTTTTTTTTAAACTTTGGTTTCCAGGTCGACCCAGCCTAAAATGGGCAACGGGGAAAGTCCTGGAAAGTAAAGGCGGACTATGTAATGTGACATCAGGGATCATGGGCTGATTGGTCATAAAAACTGATGAATCTAGCATGTGCAACAACTAGATGTGCTACTGGCTGGAAAAAGAGTCCTTTAGATTTTGTGTGACAGATTCCTGAAATAAAGATGGGGCAAAAGACAAATTGGAAATAGCTGAGATGTGGGGTTTTTTTGTTTTTTGTTTTTAGATTAATATTGCTAAAATCAGGGAGTCGCCGTGGCAGAGCGGCTAGACGCGCGCCGCAGATCGGAAGGTCGTGGGTTCGCTCCCTGGCGGAGACGGACTTTTCTTCAAAAATGACCTTGGCTCCCAGGTCGACCCAGCCTTGAGTGGGTGCAATCCCGGGAAGTAGAGGCGGCCGGCGTGATGCTGACCACATCACCCATCTTGTGCCGTTGGTCTATAAAAATATAGGTCTAGCCCTATATGCCCTATACGCCTAAAGGCGTGGAAAGGGTCCTTTACTTTACTTTACTTTTTTTATTGCTAAAATCTTTTGATTCTTTTTTCTTCTTCTTTGTGTTCGGGTTCAAATGCTCTCAGATCAGACCATCAGGTGGGTTGCCTCTATGAACTTGCATGTCAGCTGCAGGTTCTTCATAGTTTTCTCCATAGTTTGCTCTGCACACTCTGCTCAGGTTTCTATTCATAGTCGTTTTAACTCTTTCAGAACCAAAACAGCTCATAACCCATTGACTAATTACTCTTTACAAGATCTGATTTTTACCCAATTCTTCAAATAGCTGATACATGAACTAATCCTGTCCAAATAGTTACTTTATTGTCTCTCAGTGTTGTTTTTTATTTCTTTAAGCCTATCAGACCCAGAAATTTGTTAAGTACTAAATATGTAGGATATTACAAAGCTTGTTAACTGTCTCCGTGAGTGCAGAAGAACCATTCAGCTGATGAAAAAGCTGGGAAGATAATGTGGTGGTATGTAGATGAAAAAGTAAGGTAAAAACATATATATATATATATAATCTCATGAGGTAGGACTTTGTTTTGTTGCAAACATCACATACGTTCTGTTGACCACATAAACAGCAATAAATCAGGTACACAGATCTCAGAAATATGTATTTATTTAAGCATGGAATCAGATGATGACAGGCAGTGCATGTTGAATGGCTGATTATATACTGCTACATCCTCTTATGCAGTAGGCAAACTATTTCATCACTTGTCCACCTCTCCCTAATATCATCTGTTCACTCATTTCCTTACTGGAACACCTTATACATTCACCTACAATCTCCTTTACTTTCCATGTCTAATGACCTAATATATCTCTAACTGTTCATTTTCTTCCATCTCCCTTACTGCTTATGCCTTTCTTACAATCTCTCTATGACAGCCCATGTACAGTTTTCTACTGCCTTCTTTCCACATATAATTTATCACAATCTCAAATATAACACCCACGAGTTTAAAATGTTATTTGCATACCTTTGACAGGAGGACACTGCAGAACCAACCCCAGGTTTTGTTATCTGCTCAGATTTTGCTAGGCACTTTTATGTTCAGTAGTTGCTTTCTGAAAAGTCAGCTCTCAACACCAGTGTTGAAATCAGCACAAGGGGATCTGCTACCAAACTCAAACTGGGTACCTTGACTACAGACGCCTAAGCCGCAGTTGCTTCATAAAATAGCCACACATACACACACAAAATCACCAACTTGTATCTCTCTACTGTATGTATGTGGCTATACATAGCCTAGTCATCCCTCCGGACATATGATGCTACAACTCATCTTTATAGACCACAAATACAGAACGATAAATAGGTCCCTATCACGCCTGCCACCTTTACTTCCCACGAATATACACTTTTATACCCAAGTTTTAACATGTGTTTAACAGTTACTAAAAAAGTTGTAAACATTTACTATTCCACTGATAGTATCAACACCTACCTAATCTTAAAACTATGCTCCAGTAGAAGCATACAAAAAGAGTCACCCTTAATGGTTCTGGTATTTGAACTAAGGCACTCTGGTCTTCTGGAGTACTTAGATCGGGATATTCCCACTGTCTGTCTGCAAACACAGAGAATCCCCTGGGACTTTCCTTGTCTTTATTATACTGTTTCAAAAACAAAACACACAAAAATGCTCCTTCCTGGTACCATGCTGTACACAATCAGTACTCACAGAAAGCTTATAAGCAAAAATCATGTTATGTTTGAATACACATGCAGGTTTTCAGCCCCAGCTTGCCTGTGCGGGAGGGGGGAATAAAGATGACTTATTTCAGCGCTCGTTAAAATCGACAGAAAGTCCAACATAATGCTAAAAAATAGTGGTTAGGCCCCTGAGCCTTCATGCATGATACTAGGTTTGAAACCCCGGAAGGGATGTAGATTTTCTGTCGGGAGGGGGGGGGGGGGGGGGGATAAAACATGTACCCACACTCTCCTTCCTCTACAAGGCCACCCGAAAAGTGGTAAGTGTAGACACTTAGGATAACAGAAGAGAAGCAATAGTGAAAGCAGAAAAACCTGATCTTATTTCTCATGTATTGTTTTGATCTGAGATGATATCAGGGTACAGGGGCAGGGGCTGACTTGCACAAAGATTGGCACAGGATATAAGTGACACCTTGGATAAGAAAGTGTACGAGGCGAGACAGCTGGCAAGAGACCAAGTTTCTTTCAAGCAGACCCTGATAACAGTGACATTCTGCAATGGACCTGCTATATGATATGATTTTCCCCCATCTTATTTTTGTATTTCTTTGTCTTTAAAAGCCCTAATATGTACCATTACTGTCTTGTGATAGGAAGGTTGCTATTTCCTGATAAATAATGGCTGAAGAAACACTGAATCTAGGGAGATCTTTATGGTGTCAGTCTCTTAGGGTCACGAGGGAACAAGGATGTCTTTCTCACATTGTCCAGACCAAGGTACAACATAGTCACTCGTTCCAGACCTGCAAACAGAAAACAGTTATCACAGCATTAACAGATAATTACCTAACAACTGAAGTTAAACATAACCACCTAATTACCTGTTGCCATAAGAAGCCATGGACCTGACATTTCCGCCTGTGATTCATTCCCAAAAATGCTGTGTAACCAGCTTTTCTGCTGTCTGTCTGTCTCCGAGAAGCCTAGTTAAGAACACTGCATTCTGTTTGCACCCGTTTAGGATGCCTGGATTTGTATATATTTACTAAAAACAGCATTTGGGGGTTTTTTGTTGTAAATATAAACTGCACTTTTAAAGCTGATCTGATGTCATAATTTGTACAGCCTTAGTGTTGAATTCCAAGAAAGTTATAGAATAAGTCACTCGATATGTTTTCAGGCCCCAGGGAACATATTCTATTTACTGCTTCACTCCATTCAGGTTAACTGATCATATATATATTTTTTTTTTTAAACATTTTAAAGATGCATTTATTTTACAATTATTAGTGGCCTGCGTCCTTTTTTTTTTTTTTCTTTTTTCTGTTTCTTTTGCTTTGTCTTGAACAAAGGTTGATTTCTGTTCAATTGTTATCCGTGGCATTCTCTAGAGCTGCACTGTCTACTTTTTCTTCTGTCCTAGTTTTCAGCAACTTACCGCTGACAGGCAGCGGTCCAAACAGTTAAGAATGCTGAGCTGTCATGTCAGAAAGCCAGGTGTCTGAATCCTCAGTAAGGTTACCGATTTTCTTCGGTCGGAGCAAAAATGAAATCCTAACCGGTGATTCCCCCCCCCCCCCCCCTTTGATAAAATCCCACCCCCCCCCCCCCCCCCCCCCTTCCCCATTTACACCATAAAAATGATAAATACAGGTAGACCACAAAGAACAGGACACCAAAATAAGATAGCCAAGGAACCTTCCTTCACATAGCAGGCCTACAGGCGTCTGAAAAAGGATCCAGTTTGGAATTTTATGTTTATCAAAATAGAATTGGAAACTGGAAAAACAGCTTAAAATAAATATTGTTATTTCAACAGGATTTAAATACTGTTTTCAGTTCAAAAATAAAAATAACAGTACTGAGATGGAATGTTATTAAACTAACAAAATACAATAAAACCAACTAGCCTGATGGTGACAGAGCTATGTGAATACCATAAGCAATGAAGACTATGGGGGAGAAAGAGGACGTGTCAACATCTTCAACACATGTAATCTGAGAAATGAAGACTGTGTAGGCAATCAAACAGATGATATCAGCAACCAAACAGATAAGGACACGGGCAACCAAACAGATGAGGACATGGGCAACCAAACAGATGAGGACATGGGCAACCCAACAGATGAGGACATGGGCAACCCAACAGATGAGGACATGGGCAACCAAACAGATAAGGACTTGGGCAACCCAACAGATGAGGACTTGGGCAACCCAACAGATGAGGACTTGGGCAACCCAACAGATGAGGACATGGGCAACCCAACAGATGAGGACTTGGGCAACCCAACAGATGAGGACTTGGGCAACCCAACAGATGAGGACATGGGCAACCCAACAGATGAGGACATGGGCAACCCAACAGATGAGGACTTGGGCAACCCAACAGATAAGGACTTGGGCAACCAAACAGATGAGGACATGGGCAACCCAACAGATGAGGACTTGGGCAACCCAACAGATGAGGACATGGGCAACCCAACAGATGAGGACATGGGCAACCCAACAGATGAGGACATGGGCAACCCAACAAATGAGGACATGGGCAACCAAACAGATGAGGACTTGGGCAACCCAACAGATGAGGACATGGGCAACCAAACCTATGAGGAAATAGACATAAACAGATGAGGACATGGGCAACCCAACAGATGAGGACATGGGCAACCAAACAGATGAGGACTTGGGCAACCAAACAGATGAGGACATGGGCAACCAAACAGATGAGGACTTGGGCAACCAAACAGATGAGGACATGGGCAACCAAACCTATGAGGAAATAGACAACCAAACAAATGAGGACATGGGCAACCAAACCTATGAGGAAATAGACAACCAAACCTATGAGGAAATAGACAACCAAACAGATGAGGACATGGGCAACCAAACCTATGAGGAAATAGACAACCAAACAGATGAGGACATGGGCAACCCAACAGATGAGGACATGGGCAACCCAACATATGAGGACATGGGCAACCCAACAGATGAGGACTTGGGCAACCCAACAGATGAGGAAATAGGCAACCAAACAGATGAGGACATGGGCAACCAAACCTATGAGGAAATAGACAACCAAAGAGATGACAACATAGGCAACCAAGCAGATAATGACATAGACAACCAAAGAGATGATGACATAGGCGACCAAAGAGATGATGACATAGACAACCAAACAGATGATGACATAGACAACCAAAGAGATGATGACATAGGCAACCAAACAGATGATGACATAGACAACCAATCAGATGGACACAGCATGACAGCTAATAATAATAATCAGACAAAGATAATGTTGAAGAAATGTCACAAATGTATTTACCTATACCTCCACCAGCGTGAGGCGGAGCACCATATCTGAAACTATCAATGTAGCCCTTGATCTTATCCAGCTCTGAGGATCAATAAGACACATCATTGACAGTTTCTCTTAAAGGTTTCTCTCTATCTTGTGTTCTAATCAGCTACTTCTCAATGATTACATAAACTGACTTCTTTGGGTTCTGTTCAGTTACCTCTCTATACATATTTTGTTCAATTACCTCTGTTGGGTTCTGTTAAAATACCTCTGTTATGTTCTGTTCAGTTACCTATCTATGCATCAGTTACCTCTGTTATGTTCTGTTCAGTTACCTATCTATGCATTTTCTGTTCAGTTTCCTCTGTTATGTTCTGTTCAGTTACCTCTGTTATGTTCTGTTCAGTTACCTCTGTTATGTTCTGTTCAGTTACCTCTGTTATGTTCTGTTCAGTTACCTCTGTTATGTTCTGTTCAGTTACCTCTGTTATGTTCTGTTCAGTTACCTCTGTTATGTTCTGTTCAGTTACCTATCTATGCATCTTCTGTTAAGTTACCTCTGTTATGTTCTGCTCAGTTACGTCTGTTATATTTTGTTCAATTACCTCTGTAATGTTCTTGCATCTTCTGCTATGTTACCTGTTATGTATTGTTACTTCTGTTCTGTTCTGTTACCTCTGTTAAGTTCTGTTCAGTTACCTCTGTTAAGTTCTGTTCAGTTACCTATCTATGCATGTTCTGTTTAATTATTCTCTAAGAACATGTTAATTTATCTTTCTGTGCATGTTCTGCTCACTTCTCTTTTAATGGTCTGTGAAAGTTACATCTCTTTAATTTAGTTAAAAGACTTCCCTGTGTGCAATCTTTCTTCTTCTTATCTTTCACCAGCTGTTAACTCTGGCAGAAAGTTCTGGTTGTCTACCCATTTCTGGACTTGAGTCTTGTTTCAGAACTCAATATACTGCCTTGCACATCTGCTTGTTCTGTATGCAGACTGCTGGCTCCTCACGTCTCAGGCAAATGTACTTTGACCTCAGAGGAAAAATCCTTCATTAGTCGGCTGTGGGTCTATTCTTTTTTTTCCCCCCACAAAACGGAGCTCTAGAATCCACATGTGAGTAATAACACTTTATTTTAACCTGTCTTGAGCAGGAATTCACAAGTGTTCCTTTGACATATTGTACAGTGATTTTTCACTGAATAGACTGCATTCCCTGGGTGTACCACGTGGAGCCGAGAGACAGGAAAACCATAAGGGAACCACCCGTCGTTTCATCCACCACAACTGAATGGGAGTTGTTAGCCTAAAAACACTTGGACACACTCAGGAAGAGATCGGAGCACTTATGGTTATAATTCAGCTGTCCGTCCGATGAAGATGATCTCAAAGACGAACAATGAACAATTGTAAAGTGATAAATAACTTAAATGAATTCGACTAAATGAAAACAGGTGACTTTGGTGTAGTTCCTGCCAGCAATATGTGTTTTGTCTGGTCATTTTATTATATATGTACTGTTTTAGTATTTCTCTATGTGCTTTTTGTTTATTCACTTCTTTACGTGTGTTCTCTTCGAACTGATTAGGTGGTGAATTGATACATGACAAGGCAGATGTGGTCAATGCCCTTTGGGAACAAGCAATGGAATCAGTAGAGTCAGAAGATTATTATGACCTGGAGAGAATGAGGCATCTGGGTGTAACCAGAGTGTCTGGCCGGCTAAATAAACTTAGAGGAAGGGCAAGACTGATATACAACCAGATGGTGACCGCTACCATTAGTACTGAAACTCCTCTGCGCTGGCTGCTGAAGATGAGGACAGATCCTGCATGGGAATGCCCTGAGTGCTGTGATGTTAATTCTCAACTCAACTCTTTCATTACTTCTCTATGTGTGTTATGTAACTATTTATATAATACCTACTCCAAGGGAAAATCGAACTCTCTCAAATTCCACCGCTGACTGAATGGATAAATCAAACAAATACTTACGACAGCCATGTTCCAGGGCTCGCTTGGACAATAACTCTGGGTCATGGATTCGCTGAGCCCCAGAGAGAATCTCCTCTCCACGCATGAACATGTCATAGGAGTTGGACCACTTCTGGAGATGGAGAGAGAAATCAGTGGCGATTCCAGTCATGGAATCACATTAACTGATATTTAAAGTTAGTTAGTTAGTTAAGGTTCCAACGTAACTGCAGACAGGTGGTCCCCTAACTGCTCCATTTGTGTGTCAGTGGAAATCATACAAAATATCCTGTGCTGTCCCATTTACAGAAGAAGATGAATTTTTCATTAGCTTCAGCTAGTGAAAAATGTATCTTCTACTTCTGAAAGTCCATGCTGTGTGGCGTTGGTAGTCATGTCTGTCCACAACCTTCTGTCTCGCGTATTTCCAATCAACCCTGACAGAGGATCCCCCATGCCACGATGTCAAAATGCCCAGCATATTTTCTCTCTGTCTCCCTCTGCCTCTCCTCCCCTCAAACTTTCCTACTGTCATGATGTACTCCAATTTCCTCCTTCTCATCACTCAATCAACCAAGGAATGTAGATTGTCTCTTTCTGATATGGGCAATTAGTTCTCTTCATGACTCAGTTGAAAAGTGTATCAGTCCCAGCATAAGCGTTAGAGGTGCCAACACTAATGGTCCTATTCCATAAGTGCAGCTCACTGTTGGTACCACACCCACTAAGTACATGCCATCCTGAAAGTAACTGTTCAACTGCTATTTTACTCAGTCAACAGTACACCACAGGCATGACAAAAGAAAAAACATCCCACTTGAAACCCCCACCTCACAGTGCAATACTAAGCACTTAACTCAGTAGCTGGGCAACAGAACCATTGGAATCCCGGTCCAGAAATGGGTAATTTGTGTCAGCAAAACCAGGCTGGAAACAAACTTCTTTTATTACTTCTTCTGCATTCCTCTCAAATAATGATTCAGAGCGTCAGCCAGCTATCGGCCATTTTGACAGAAAGTCTTAGATATTAAAAGTGATATTGCATACATCTAAGTTATTAGTTTACAAGAAATATGCTGTCATAATCTTTTTTTTTCAATGTACTGTGTTGTAATAAGTGTCCAGGGAACTATTACCTATCCTTATGTGCTTTGAATTGTGGCCCCACAGAACAGAATAGGGAAAATTGGCCTTAGATGCACCGGTAGTGGTGGGGCTGGGGGAGGGGGGGGGGTGTTTGGGAGGTGTCTTGGCACTATTTCTCCCTTGCAGGAATCCACACCATTCTGCTCTTTAATTTGTTCCATAACCATACAATGGGTTACATTCTACTGGCTCATCAAACTTGTGTTATTGTACATTGATATCAACAAAATATTTCTTGCTTTTTCTTTTTTTTTCAATGAAAGTTGTGTGTGATGACACTGCTAATTTTCATTGCAAATAAAAATGCAAATTGTAAATATGGACTCAAATGGCTACTCACAGCATTGAATGGGTCCGGCATTGTGTAGAACGGCCTCACAGCCAGTGGATACTTGTCCAAGATGAAGAAATCAGTGTCATACTGCAAACAGGAAGTCACACAAAAACAGTGAAACAGCAGTACACACAGTCAACAGAGAAGCCATAGAATCACTTCTTTACACACAGTCAACAGAGAAGCCATAGAATCACTTCTTTAGATTCTTCTTCTTCATTTGTTGGATATTTTTTTATTTGGAAGCAATTATGCGGTGCCTACTTATATAGCATAGGATGTAATATTTGTGCCTTTTGGTGCACACATCCGACTTCTTTGAGGATATGTTGTTGAAGGGTAGGTCTTTACTCTGTCATCATCATCAACTTCAACTTTTTTGTATTGCTTTGTGGGGAGGAAGTTATCCCTGAATGAATGGTACAGATCACTATCATCCTATGTGGATGTTTGTCTCTAATGTCATCAAACCCTCTTTTTTCTTGGATGACTCTTGCTTTCACATCAGATCTTTTGGAATGAATGAATCAATCAATCAAGAACTGACACCACTGCACTCAGGATATTCCCACATCTGCTCCATCTCCTGCCTTCCCAGTAGCCAACCAAGAGTCAACATACGAACAGTACCAGTTGCAACCTAATTAAAAATCCCTCATGTTCCCCCTCAGAATCTCCGCTCACCCGCACTGACTTAGTCTTTTAAAGTATGGATACTCTGTTCTGGTCCATCTGATCCTAGAGAGCCTTCTTCATAAAGTGACTCACCGCCCAGAGGAGTGGCAGCAACTAATCTATCAGCCTGCTCATGACCCCACACACCTGAATAACCTGGACAGAACATCCTTGATATTCTCCTGATCCAAGTTTTATCAAGCCACTCTACCTAGAGGATGCTAGTTTCCATTTTTAAACACATACTTTTAGGTTTAGTATCTTTGTTGGATGTTACTGTGTTGGAGGTTACTGTGTTGGTTACTGTGTTGGAGGTTACTGTGTTGGAGGTTACTGTGTTGGGGGTTACTGTGTTGGAGGTTACTGTGTTGGAGGTTACTGTGTTGGAGGTTACTGTGTTGGAGGTTACTGTGTTGGAGGTTACTGTGTTGGAGGTTACTGTGTTGGAGGTTACTGTGTTGGAGGTTACTGTGTTGGAGGTTACTGTGTTGGAGGTTTCTGTGTTGGAGGTTACTGTGTTGGAGGTTACTGTGTTGGAGGTTACTGTGTTGGAGGTTACTGTGTTGGAGGTTAGTAAGTTGGAGGTTATTGTGTTAGAGGTTACTGTGTTGGAGGTTACTGTGTTGGAGGTTACTGTGTTGGAGGTTATTGTGTTAGAGGTTTCTGTGTTGGAGGTTACTAAGTTGGAGGTTATTGTGTTAGAGGTTACTGTGTTGGAGGTTACTGTGTTAGAGGTTTCTGTGTTGGAGGTTATTGTGTTAGAGGTTTCTGTGTTGGAGGTTACTGTGTTGGAGGTTACTGTGGCTGCATTCTGGCGAGATGACCAAACCATATGATGATCTGTTGTCTCAAAAAATGTGGTGCAAGATATTCCCACAATAGCATCTTTTCCTACTCTATCAGGGTTGGTTAGGTTGGTAGCTTTCTTAAGGCATGTCATCTCACAAGTGTTAATTTGTGGGCTTATCTGTCATCATCTTCTTTTTCTCAGCGTTCACCCTCTGTAAACTCTGACAGGAAAGTTCTGGTTGTTCGTCCACTTCTGCACTTTAGTCCTATTTGAGTTTTGCGTGTACATATTTTCTGCAGATCTGGCTTATTTGTATGCAGACAGTTGGTCCCTGGCCTCTCAGACAGACACACTCCCACTCTGAAGGAAACACCCCTAATTAGTCGCCTTTTATTACAGGTTGAATCAAGAGGACAGTGGGTCTATTCTTTTCCCCACAAAAGCAGAACCCGCACGGGAAATCTGTCATACGTGAAGTGAAAAACGTTGTGGTATGGGTAAATTTTTGACTGAGACCACAGACATGACATAATTACCTTAGCTTTGACCAACTTTCCCAGGAGCTTCTCATTGGGGGTCGACAGATCGTCTTCATCACCCATCTCAACGCCCACCTCTCTCAGCATGTCTACACCATCTTTGTAGTTCAGGACCAAGCTAGACAAACAGAGGTCAATTATTTCATGTGACCAGGGCTGGGTTTTTTTCCTGGCGGTATGCAACAGTGCGAAGTACATCGGGTTTTTTTCACCCCTGTATGTTTATATCTGTAAACAGAGGGTTTTTTTCTGGCAGAATGCAACAGTGCACAGTCCATTCACCTTTTTTCTAGTTAAAAAAAACTGCATATATACAAAGATTTTTTTCTGGCGGTATGCAACAGTGCACAGTAAGTCCACCTTTTTTCTATTTTAAAAAAGCCCCTCTGCATCTATACATACCCCAAAAAATACTGTATCTACATATACAAGGTTTTTTCTGGCGGTATGCAACATTGCACAGTACGTCCACTTTACTAGAAGAAAATTTCCAGTATGTATCTACATAAACATATCTTGTTTCTTTTTATGATGGTATGCAGTACATGCATCTTTCTTCGTAGAAAATCAGCCCTGCCTTCTACTGCTGCCTCCAATGTTTCTACTAATATTTCAGCTGCTGCTACTCCTCCTCCTCTTCTCATCGCTACTACAGGTTCTACTGCTGCCACTGTTTCTACAAATGCTGTTACCATTCCAGCTCTGCTATTACCACGTCTTCCTTTTCGTACTTGCTTCCTCCTCTTTCTTGTAGCTTGACGGGAGCAGACACTGTGAAGATTGACCCACCACCCTTATCACCTATTTTAATAAAGTCAACACTGTGCAAGTAATTATTTCATCCACAATTTTTTTTTTTAAATCCATCCACATAACCTTTGTCTTCTTCCTCTGTCTCTCTTGCCTATAATTATTTGAAAGCTAATTAATATATTCAACAACTTCTGCTGTTATGTCTCAAACATTTTCTGTTGTTGAGTGACCTACCATCTATCCAGCTTACCTAGGTTCTAGAAACTTGAATGGCTCAGAGGGATACTGCTTGTTGACTAGACTGATCTCCTCTGAGTACCTGAAAACAAGACAGCAAAGATGACTTCCAGGCAGATGTAAATAATGTAGCTGTCTAGATGTTGCGTTTGTTTTTCATTCACCGGCTGTAAAGTCCAGGATCTGAGTTTTGCATGTGCGTTCATTTCCATGATCTGGCTTATTTTTGTGCGTTGTTGGTTCCTCGCTTTCCATCTGTCTTTGCACTGGAACCCACAGGGGCATAAAAAGGAAGACCAAAAAAACACATGCAGAAGGGAACTAGAGAGTGGAGTTAAAAAGATGGGGAGGACATGGGGAACAGCTGCATGCAACAGTGAAGGAAAGAACAACCTGGCTGAGGGTCTACTCCTCATTAGGGGATAAGGCAGAAGAACAATCAACCACAGAAAGGATGATTCCAAACACAGTTCTGTCCGCTACAAAGACCTCAATATCACTCCCTTCTTTTATCAGTCCGTGACATTGTCAGTATGTCTCAATATAAACAAACACAAGATTTGTGTCGTCAACAGCCTAGGTGTGCAAAATGTACTGCAGATGCTTAACGCAAACTTTAATGTTACAGACAACCTTCAACAAATTTCACATATGTAGAAAAGATCAAGAAATGTTGACCAGATGTAAAGATGGCAAGACAAAGACAATAAAGTAAACACAACCACATACAGACGGTTATACACCCACAACTGCAATTATCAGCACACACAAACACAACTGTAATTACTAACACTCGTATGACCAACTATTAACATACACACCATGTAGATATTTGCGGCTTCCAGAGCACTAGCTTGGGCAGCAGAACAAGCAGTCACACATACAGTAATCCTATCAGACTCCACGGACATGCTTTAGAAAATAGTAACAGGCAGTATATGCTCTGAACAGGTAGAAAGCATTTGGAAATCGCACTTAACTTCTCTCACCTTGATCTTTACACCTGGCCTTTGCAGGCGTGAAAGGTAACAACACAGTGGACCAACAGGCAAGCACTGCACCAATGCATTTGGGAAGAAGCATGGACAGAGCAGATGTCAATGCTGTAAGGACTAGGTTAGTGGATAATAATGAAGAATCTCTGACAGTAACATGATTGTGTGACATAAGAGTAAAGCATGGTGAAGCACCTCTATGCTGCCTTTAAAGCCGAGATATGACATATTATAAGCAGCTCCTCATGGTAGCAAACAGAAGAGGTTCCTTAAAGTGACTGCTGCATCAGAGGACCGAGCACGCATGGAAATGCCCAATGTGCAGTACACAGACTGTGATAATATAACATCAACACACACACACAGCTGTAACTACAAGCATACTCACAGCCTTGACCTGATCCTATGGTACAGACCTGATTAACTGCAACACACACACACACACCTGAGTCTTTGGTACAGACCCTGTCAAACTCAGCACACACCCACACAAAACACACACACCTGAGCCTTTGGTACAGACCCTGTCAAACTCAGCACACACCCACACAAAACACACTCACCTGAGCCTATTGTATAGACCCTGTCAAACTCGGCACACACAGACATCTGCTTGTACAGCTGGGGAGACTGTGCCAAGTAGGCCTTCGTCTTGAAGTAAGTCACCTCAAACACATTGGCTCCACCCTCGGAGGCAGCTGCAAGTACACCCCAGTTCAACAACATATAAAAAAAAAATTTTTAGATACAATCAGAAAAAAGGTTCAACAACTCATTAGATAAAAACAAGACAAAGACAATCCGCGAGCAGATACTGCTATAGGGCATGTATGATTTGACATTTTTTTTATATATTTAAAGTGAAGAATCCTTTTCATAACTGTAACGCATTGAGCATATGATGCTAAATAAGCATTGTAGGTTAAATCCATTTTTTAAGATTCCAACTGGCAATTGATGGGCAGTCAACATCATGCCAGCTGCTTCTAACTCTACAGGACTTAATCTATTTAAACCCTCTTGCTCCAAGAAGTACAAAATCCCATTTGTATCACGGCCCCGCAAATGCTCCCTTCCCAGCTTGTTACATATGCTCATTAATGAGAAATATTGCTAACAGCACTGCTCCAATTTTTCCTGGGCAACTTTTTAGAATGACCAGGAACAAGCATAATTGCTAAAAACTGCATTTAGGTTGGGGTTTATTTGTGGAAAATGGCCTTATTGACAGAAATTAGTAACCAGAATTTCCCATTAGTTACAGTCTGCATCCAAAAATTCCTAGAGCAGCAGTTCTCAACTTGCCAGTCGCAGTCCATTTTTTTTTTTAGATCGAACGACCCTTTCACAGGGGTTGCCTAAGACCGTCAGAAAACACATATTCATTGCAGTTACAAAGAAAGAAAAACCTGTTTGGGAGTCGCCAAACACAAGGAAAATGTAAACAGGGTCGCGGCATTAGGAAGGTTGGAAGCCACTGTACTACAGCCATTCAATGTTGGATTACTATCATTAACATTATGTGCCTTGCCAGAGGGTTGCATTTGAAAACTGTTTGCTAGAGCCGCTGAATGCTGAATTAATATCATTAACAGTGTTTGCCTTGCTAGATAGCACAGGAGAAATTTATGTTGAAAGCTGAACTAAGAATCAACATCAAAGCACTCTGGACACCCCCATAAGCACTCCATCCCCATCTTCAGCAGCAAGCGAAGGGTTCCAATTCTGACGTCACCAACAACTGTCTGATTGTATTTCCATCTCGCCTTTCCCTTGAGAGTTGAGCCCTGGCCAGCTCCCCTTGTAACTCCTTGCAGCGCCATTCTCCCCATATTGTAATGATCTATCTGTGCCTCCTCACAACATCCAGCTTGTCATACATCAGTTCACCACCAAGTGGTGCAGAACCGGCCAGTCTATCCGCCCGCTCATTTCCCAACACACCCTATTTTCCCCAGTGCAGAATATTTCCTATCCACCCCCCTCCCCCTTTTACAAAGGAGAAACATCAACTAGTAATTAAATTTTTAATCATCATTATCAAGTTCCTTGCTAGATGGCAGACCAGATGTCACACTACAAAAGACAATATTTGAATACATAATCTTTTAGAAGTTATTATTCTACGCCCTAGAACAGGACACAGTCGACTTCTCATCTACATGTACACACAATTTAAAATCGGCGAATCAGCCATGTGCACATGTGGATTGAGAAACCTGAGAAAACAGATCATGTCCTCCAAGACCGTCCCAAACACAACATATCAAGGCAAAACTTTTGGCCAAGAGAAACATCGGTGCAAGTCTAACTTTACGGGTCACCGAGTGAATTACGAAAATCAGTGAAGTTCATACTAAAGACAACATTGCAGATATAGTTAATCTATTTCAAGCGAACGAAAGAAGAAGAAGAAATCTTTTATAAGAATTTACCTGGTATAATTTTTGGTGTGTGAATTTCCACAAATCCCTTTTCGGTCAGATAGTCTCTAAATAATCGGCAAACCCCAGCTTCCAGTCTAAATATAGACTGGTTTGTCACGGTCCTGAGATCCAGAACTCTGTTGTCCAGACGCGTATCCTGGTTCACAGTGGCAAGTCCCTACAAAGAATAGTTTTATATTATAAATATACATTTTTTAAAAAGCTACATAAAAAAAATAAAGGAACAAAGTTTATAAATTATAGGGTTTCTGCCAGCATCGGTGGCTTAAGGGTTGTGGGCAGTTTTATAATCCAGACATGGTGGAGCTCCAAGTGATCAGGTAGCAGACCACTGGATTCTGATAACACTATGAGCAATGTATCTTTCAGAAAGCAATGGCAAACTATTGAATGTACAGCCGCAAAATAACCAATAAATGCTGAAAAGGATATGCACCTAACTTTTAAACTTTTAAGACGCGGGTTTCAAAACACAGGCCGCGACACCAAATAGGGTCACCAGGTTTTACTGAGCTTTCAAACTTTTTAATAGAAAAAAAAAAACACATAATGTCAATGCATTCTTACACAGAACTATTTGTTTAAGTAAATACAAAGTGTTTTCATTTATCCTATTCTTCTTCTTCTTCTTCTTTGTTCACTGGCTGTAAGCTACCATAGAAACTTGGTTGTCTGTCTATTTGGACTTGGGCTTTGTGCAAAGGCCTGAGTCTTGCGTCTATGTCTGCTTTTACAGTCTTATTGGTGTGTAACTGTTTGTTCCTTGTCGCTCGGGCAGATGCACTCGACTTCGAAGGAAGCCCCAAAAAGGTCGACTCCTACAACATGCTTGTTGGGGAGGGAGGGGGTCTATTCCCCCACAATGGGGCCCTGGAACCCACACGGGGAATATAAAGAAAAAAAAAGTAAAGATCCCTTTTCACGCCTTTTGGCGCATCTGGCATATGGGCAGAGCGTCCCATATTTTTACAGACCATCAGCACTCTGTGGGTAATGTGGTCAGCATTACGCCGGCTGTCTTTACTTTCCCAGGACAGCCCATCCTGGTACCCATTTTAGGCTGGGTCGACCTGCGACGTCCCATACCACAACAAAAATCCACGCAGCCTGCAGTGGGTTTCGATCGCGGTATGCTGGCTCACGAGTCGGACTCGCAACGCCTTAGCCACGGACGCCACACACGGGGAATATACACTATTAAAAAGCCTATCTATAATTACAGTGCCGCCGGTCACTTTGCCTCTATAAAATGCGGCTGCGACTCAAAAAATGGTTGGAACTGCTGTTTTAGGGTGTTTCTGGGAAGTGGTTTTGGGTGCAAGTTTTTTAACACACACGAGATCATGTGACCAGCAGCCTTCACTTCACTAGAGATGCTCTGGTAGCCTTTGGAGATCTCTTGAAGGCAAAGTAGTTAACTCACTTTTCTTCATGCTCTGAAGGTGTGAGTTTGATTTCAGACTGCAAGAAAAAGTGTTATACATACCCCTAGGGGTCATGGCTGAACCTACAGATTCATACTTTGTGCATCAGTTTTTAAAACTTGTAGAGAACTTCTTCTTCTTAGCGTTCATCAGCTGTAAACTTCAGCCAGAAAGTTCTGGACTTTTGATCTTGTTCTAGAACTTGAGTTCTGTATAAACATCCATTTTACAGATGACTTCTTGAAAGCAGACTGTTGGTTCCTCGCCTCTCAGGCAGACGCACCAATACTTTGAGAGATATACCCCTAATTAGTAGACTTTTATGACATGCTTAGTATGTGTGCGGCAGTGGGTGTGTCAACCCCCGGCCTCAAACCCATACAGGGAGTTTTGTAATTCAGCTGGCAAGACTCAGTATTAAAGATCCCCCTAGTGGTCACGGCTGGAGCTAGTGTAAAACTTTATGCAACAATTGTAACATCCTGTAGGGACTTCTAACTGGCACACTCTGTACATTGACATTAGTGGGGTTTTTTTTTAATTCATTAGACAGAAAAATCACTCTTCACACAAACAGCATATAGGACACAAATCTCAGGTCGTATCCATGGTCATTAACTGAGTCTCCTTAATTGCATGTGATCACATCTCTTGACATGACGCATTAAAACAGGCAAAAGAGGAGGTCACACATAAGCCCGGCGGACCCCGTCCTGCAGTCAAAGTACTTAAGTTTTCAAGGTATGTTTATGAGCAAGATGTCTTCAATGATACAGTACTGCAGAAGATGAGATTAGAAAACTGTGTATGACAGGGTGTCACTAATTTCAAACATCAAAACAAACTCACATCTTCAGTTTCCGGCCGACTTGCATCTTCTATCAGCAGTGGCAGTCTTGGTTCTGCAGCACTGACAACCCAGATCTGTGTTCATTGAAGAATTGAATTACAATGATACTGTGAGCATGTTAACCATAAACAAAATATCACTTTCTTCAGGTGGTGCACATGTTCAAAGGAAACAACACCCTTAATCAATGGCTTTTACGACATGCTTGTTAGAGGGTCAGTCTGTTCTCTTCCCCATCAAAATGCTGCCCCAGAACCCACATGGAGAACAGAACCCAACATGGAGAACAGAACCCAACATGGAGAACAGAACCCACATGGAGAACAGAACCCACATGGAGAACAGAACCCAACATGGAGGACAGAACTCACATCGAGAACAGAACCCAACATGGAGAACAGAACCCACATGGAGAACAGAACCCACATAGAGAACAGAACCCAACATGGAGAACAGAACCCACATGGAGAACAGAACCCACATGGAGAACAGAACCCACACATGGAGAACAGAACCCAACATGGAGAACAGAACCCACATGGAGAACAGAACCCACATGGAGAACAGAACCCACATGGAGAACAGAACCCACATGGAGAACAGAACCCACATGGAGAACAGAACCCTACATGGAGAACAGAACCCACATGGAGAACAGAACCCACATGGAGAACAGAACCCACTTGGAGAACAGAACCCACATGGAGAACAGAACCCACATGGAGAACAGAACCCAACAAACCATGAATAGACTGGCAACAAAATAACTTGAGGGAAGCTGCTTAAGAAGCTCTGTGGGGACAATGTGTGTGCAACAAACAAATAATACAGGAAAGGAGACTCTCCGTTTGCAGAGACACAAGTTAATAAATGTCTGAGTTTATTTCTAACTCACTTTTTTTTCTGCAAGATTATTTCTTTCTCTTCCCTCCCTAATTTTCCATTTCTTCTTCTTCTTTGCGTTCACCAGCTGTATACTCGGGTGGAAAGTTCTGGTTGCTCGTCCACTACTGAACTGCAGTCCTGCTCCAGAACCTGAGTGTTGCGTGTGCATCAGTTTTACAGATCTCATTCTCTTGAATACAGACTGTTGGTTCCTTGCCTCTCCGGCAGATGCACTCCGATTTCAAAGGAAGCTCCCCAATTAGTCGACTCTTACAACATGCTTTTGGGGAGGCAGTGGGTCTATTCTTATTTTCCCCACAATGGGGCCCCGGAACCCACACGGGGGTTTTTTCATTTAAAAAACATGATGCTGTATAACAGTTAAAAAATAAGTAAGGGAACATGAGACAACATACCTGCTGAATATGCAGCTCTACATCTTGCTGTGAACACGACTGGATTTTCTGACCCACAGTCTGCAGCACACCCTCAACATCAATGATGGACTCAGCTGAGATGCTGTGGAAGAAACCAAGACTCTGGCTGTGACATCCCCTGTTTAACTATCTGTGTAAAATAACATGGCAACATGCGTGGTTACAGTCACAGTAAGAAAGTCTTCTCCTTTGCATCCGCCGGCTGTAAATTCTTAAGGAAAATTGTTGCTGTCCGTAGACCTTCTGGACTTCGGCTTGTTTGAGTACCTAAGTGTTGCATGTTCATTCGTTTTATAGGTCTGGCTTCAATGTTAAACTTGGCAGATGCCTGATGTGCCTAAATCTTCTTCTCCTTCTCCAGTTACGACATCAAACTGCTGTGAGGGGGACTTTAGGATCCTCTGTGTGCTATTTCGTTAAGGCTGTTCTTAATGCCGTCATTTCATGTTTCGTCTGGTCTTCCCCTTGCTCCGTATTTCTTCAGGTATGCTTTCTGTATCAGCTAGTAGCAGGGCCTACCCGCCAGGTGGCCGAACCATCTGCTCTGTTGCACTTTAATGAACTATACCTGATGTGCTAGTGGCACAAAAAAGGGTCCTTTTAATGTTATACTTTGAGCAGCTGTATAGAGAACTAATTCCCAGACTTCTTATTTTGGCCAACATTGTTGAAAACACCTGCCTGCACACAATGGATTACCTGGAAATGAATTTGAGCATCTGTTTGCTGATATTCTCACTCTGTATGACAACAACCTGTACTGTCCACTTCTGCTGCCTGATCACGAAGAAGCACTGTTTGCCTGTTTGGATTAGAAGATCCGTCATTGGAAATACAGTCAGATTATTGTAAATGTTGGTCATTTCTGTCTGTACACACATAAAGCACTGTCATTACATATTTAACTAGAAAAGTCATTTAAAAGATATGGAGGAGAAGGCTCTAGACACATCCTAAAAATATGGTTGGTGGGTATTATGGCTGGTTGGCTTTTTGATTGGTCAAATAGTTTGTCATTTGGTTGGATAGTTATTTTTGGTGCAGCCAATGGTTTAGAAGACTTTCAAGCTTGTCAAACAGTGAGTCTTGTACTGTCTATGAAGTCCAAAGATCTCCAAGACCGCAGTTTTTCTCATCTCCTTGACTATATGGGCATTCTCATCGCTTTGAGCTCTATTCTTAAGCCCCCATTCAGGACCTCGTCAAGTTTTCCCAAGTTTGTTTCTGCTTCAGTAGCCCAGAAGTTCCGGGTCTCATGGGTCTAACTTTTCCATTTATTTATAGATCTTTTGCACTGGTTCCTCACGATTTTCCATTTTTTTTTCACTGTAAAAAAATAACTTTTGTAATCCTTCCAAGTGGGTATGATGTCAGGGGTGACTCCAAGAACTTTGGGTATCTCTATCTGAGTTAATGGTTGCGTTTTTAACCTTGTAGATATGGATAACATTATGAAGGATGCAACATGATACGAATGGAAAGAAAATCAGCCACCATGGCAGGCGTGGGAGGCTAAGAACCAGACCTCCAAGGCGACCTAGGGTCTGCTGGGAAGACAACATCAGACAGCTCCTGACTGACAGAGGACTGGAATGGAACAAAGCCAGAATGAAAAACTGCTCTAGAGAAGTCTAGCGATCTCTCATTAATAATGGCTCCATACAACATATGGTATACTCAGGCCAGAGTTTTGACAGGCAACTTACTACAGACAATAGAAGAGCAAAACACATTCAGCAAAAACTTTTTCTTGAAGATTCACAGCTATGACAAATATCACAAACCTACATACATCGGGAACCAGTCACTCTTTGGAAGTAACAAGACCAGGGGGTACTAAGCTTATCAAAGATTCTACTCCCTGTATCATTCAGCTAGCTAGTGGATAATGACGAATCCCTGACACTAACACGATTGCGTGACATGGGAGAGAAGCATGGTGAAGCACGTCTTTGCCGTCTTCGAGGTCGAGAAAGGAGACAATATAACCAGCATCTCATGGGGACAATTAGTAGAAGTACTTTGGAGTGGCTGCTGCTTCGGAGGACTGCGCACACATGGGTATACCCAATGTGCAGTGACGTCGATTGTGATAACAGAACATAAAATAACATTTTGTAGGAAGTCGGCATGCCGAAACCCTAGTTCAAAGTGTCTCCTTCGTGCCAAAGAACTGCATGGCTGTTGGGTGAACAGTCGTTAACGAAGGCAGTCAGGTCGTTGTAGGGGCGACGCCTGCTGGTGGATGTAATGTCCTAAGTCCCTTCCCCAGCTAATAGTGAGGGTACTGCTGGGGCGACCATTTATTAACCCTCACATAATGCTTCAGGTCAAAATGGACGCTAGGCACGGCCACCTTTTTTAGCCGTGCCAAATTTTTTTTTTAACTCCTACCAGGCAGTGGCCGTCACATTTTTGTTCCATTTGTAGACTGGAAGGATATAGTTTCGTCGCCCAACTTCTGAGTTGAGTGCATAGTGTGACACTGTGAGCTACGTGTGTTTTTCGTTAGCACAGGAGCACAGCAACTATGGGGTGACCCGTTTGCTATGAAGCTGAAACTAGGGTTACCAGATTCAGCTGTCCATCTATCCTGACACATAAAATCCATGTGATCCTTGTGCGAAGTGACATGTCACTATTTCCTACTGTGACAGAATTTAGCACTAACTGAGAAACTACAGTACCCCCATCATCATCAAGTGCCTTGCCAGCTGGCCTAGGCATTCTTGCATCTCCACAGATCTTGGTCTTTAGTGTTCTGGATCAATTCCACTAATTTTTCTTTTTTTTTTATCGGTCACCGGCTGTGAATTCCAGTGGAAGGTCCAGGATAATCGTCCGCTTGGACTTTTGGCTGTCACCTGGACCTGATTTTTGCGTGTACAACCGTTTTTAATTTCCCTGCCTCCTGGGCAGCTGTACTCCGACTTCGAAGGAAATTCCACTAATGATATTTCTCTATGCCACTATCTTAAGCCATCCTCCATAATTTCTCTTGGTCTGCCTCTTCTACTAGTGATCTTTCCCCTATAGCTATATAAATTCTGGCCCTTGAGAAAGGACATAAAAAGCCCAAAGACATGTAAGTTTTAATATAGGAAACAGTAGAAATGATGCACTCAAAAAACATACCTTTACTACGACACGTATGAAATCTTCCCCTGACCCACACAGACTGCCCGGCAAGAGACGGCTCCAGCTCACATACTTTGTACAAACGGCGCTGTGGCCTGTCTTGTGACTGGTTGAGAGGTAGGTTACCATAACGACCATTTGATTGGTCGGCACTGTCGGCCTCCTGCACCTTTCAAAGACATTTTAAAAGTAAAAGTCAGTAAAACAGACTTACAAGAGATCAATGATTGGTTGTGAATCATCTAGAAGGGTGTGAATTCCAACTAAGTCCAGTACATCTGCATTCAGGTCATTAGAGCCCTAAAAAGGGTTTGGATCTACACAGCAAGGGTAATGTAGGGACTTTTCTACCATCTCAGTATCTTCTAATGCGTGTAAAAAAAGGGGGTGAGCACACTGGGGTCTACAGCTAGGCTGTGATATCTGCACCTTTTGGCCAAACACATCTTACTTTAGCAAACCTTTATCCAGTGCCTTTGACAACATGCTAGTTGGACATATCACAGGGATTCCTCAGTTCCAAAAGATCATTTCTATGGGAACTGTCTAGCAGTTCCTATTTCCCCCTCTCCACCAGAAACCAACTGGGTGTATAAGATCAGTACTGGAACTTAACCTCTGCATACAGGCCTACTAGGACGTAACCAGGTCATAATGTTTGGCACAGCGGCTGGTCAAGCTGTCAGAACACTGGGCTCACATTTGAAGGACTAGGGCTTGAATTCTCAAGGAGGTGATGAAGAATTTGTTTTCCTGCTGGGAACAAATATAAATATCCTGCCAAAAAAAACCTGCCTTTATTTTACCACTTTTGCGGTGTAGGTGAGGAGGGGAAGGGGGTCTTTGAGCCTAAGGATTTACGGCCACATTTCGAAAAAAAAAGCTTCCTTTACAATAAGCTGGAACAACAGTCGTTTTACCAATGGGAACCATCAACAACACTAAGCTCTCCAACATCTGAAGGGGACACAGCCAAGTGACCTGGCCATGGATTCAAGTCCCACCCACCCATGCATATATTTATGTCTAAGTGAATATGCCAGCTGTGTCTTCTTCCTCTGCCTTTCTAACAACCAATGGAACATAGGTCCTCAACAAACTCATGCCAAGTAGTTGTATCCTTTGCTATTGCATGCAGCTTTCTCCACGTCCTCCTATCTTTTTTAACTTCACCCTCTAGCTCCCTTCTCCATGTGTTTTTTGGGTCTTACTTTATTTCTAAGCCCCTGTGGGTTCCATTGCAAAGACATTCTAGTTATACTTCTCAACTTGTGTCTGATCAAATGCCAGCGTCTTTTCTTCACCTCTTGGTCCAGTGGAACTTGTTTTGTTTTCTCCCAAAGCTCTATGATTCTATCATACCATTTAATTCCCTCCATTCTGCGCAGGCACCAGTTAAGGAACATTCATCTTTTATCTATAACTGCCCTAGCTGTTCTCCATGTTTCCGCTCCATACAACAGTACGTCTTGGAGTGGGATACCATTAAGAGAAACTATATTAGTATTTACCTGATTAATTCTCATTATCTTTACCCTTCCCTTATGGATTTTCAGACCTGACTGTTGTGACCTCACATCAATTATAGTTAATTTATCTTGCATCTGATTCCGTAAGTGGGACAGAGAAGAAATATCATCAGCGAAGTCCAGATCAAGCTGTTTTGTAGGGGTCAATCCAATTTCATTCTTGGTGTTAGCAGCTGCTTATGTTTGCATTATTCCGTGGCTTAAAGGCTAGTGAATGTGGTTTAATTTCATGATCCTTGAGTGATATGGTTCATTCCCTCGCGGCAAATGAAAAAAAAAACAGTTCTCACTGTGGAAAAGACTGGGGTCTTCCCGTGTAACTATACCCAAATACAAAAGTGGTATACTGTTGCCAACCTTCACTGTGGAGATGGCACAGAATATTTATTTATGTATGGTCTACTGTATGACAGTGAGTCTTGGAATGTGAAAAACAAATTAAGAGAAGTTTGAGATGTGGTTCTTGAGAAGAATGTTGCGAATACCTTGGACTGCCACAATAACTAACAATGATTGCCTGGAAATGGCAAATGAAATATATATATATATAACAATAAGAAGAAAGCAATCAAAATTCTTTGGTCATGTGATGAGAAAAGGAGCACTGGAAAATATTATGACGACTGGAAAGATCACTGGTAGAAGAAGCAGACCAAGAGAAATGATGATGTATGGCTTAAGACAGTGGCATGGAGGAATATCATCAGTGGAATTGAGCAAGAACACCAAAGACCGAGATCTGTGGAGATGCATGAATGCCTACGCCAGCTGGCAAGGCACTCATCTCAGGCGGTGTGTGCATGTTGCATTTATATAAAACATGAGACTACGAGTGGCTAATTCCACTGGCACCAAGGTGTAGAATGGATAGTGCACAAAAACTACTTATAGTTCATGCCAAGCGCTATTGATAATCATGCCTGTTTCATGTACTGTTAATAATGTCGATGTTTCTCAATGCCAAGTTACCCTAACAATTTCTTATCTTGGTATTTCTCAATACCAAGTTACCCTAACATTTTCTTATATTGGTATTTCTCAATGCTAATACGCTCTAACAATTTCTGAAACCAATGTTTCTCAATGCCAAGTTACCCTAACAATTTCTGATATTGGTATTTCTCAATGCCAAGTTACCCTAACAATTTCTGATATTGGTATTTCTCAATGCCAAGTTACCCTAACAATTTCTGATATTGGTATTTCTCAATGCCAAGTTACCCTAACAATTTCTGATATTGGTATTTCTCAATGCCAAGTTACCCTAACAATTTCTTATATTGGTATTTCTCAATGCCAAGTTACCCTAACAATTTCTGATATTGGTATTTCTCAATGCTAATATGCTCTAACAATTTCTGAAACCAATGTTTCTCAAAGCCAAGTTACCCTAACAATTTCTGATATTGGTATTTCTTAATGCTAAGATGCTCTAACAATTTTTGATGCTAATGTTTCTCAATGCCAAGTTACCCTAACAATTTCTTATACCAGTGATTCCCAAAGTGTGCGGCGCGGTGCCCCAGGTAGCTGAGACCTCTTCACAGGGGCGCTGCGAAATATTTGAAGTTACACAAGTTTTATTTGTTTTTATCTCTTACACATGAATAGTCAAGCTTTTATTTAGGTTAGGGCGCTGCGGAAAATTTTAATTTTTTAAAAAAAGGCACCGCGACCAAGAAAGGTTTGGGAAACATTGTCTTATAACGATGTCTCAATGCGGAGTGAGCCATGGTGCCAAACAGATCAGCATTTCTTATCTTGATATCCCTCTCCCTCCTCACAGAAACAAAGAACAATAATGGGCTACCATAAAATAAACAGCCTAATTTACCAACTACTTACCTCCTGCACATTTGGTTTCTTGTGCTGAGCTTTCTTTGCGGCTTTCTCAGCATCCTTCTGTTGCTTTTTCAATGCCTTCTTTGAAACCGGCTGTCCATCAGGCCTGCAACATGAAAACACTTTCAAATAGTTTTGTGTCACACACAACAAGTTCTAACACATGCCAGCGAATCCTGACCAATTAGTAAGCAATTTAAACTAGGCCACAAACAATATATTTTGCACCATTTATTGCCTGGCATATTTCACTGCATCTCGCAATTGCTGTGGAATGTTATTTGTTTCCAGTCAGTTTTTGTTGATGCTAATTCTCCATTTCTGGACCCGAAGTTCAAAAGTTCTGTCCCTGAGTTACTGAACCGAGTGCTTGGTGTGACACTGTGAGTTGTGGATTTCATGTGCAATGGGTTTTTTTCTGTTACTCTGGTAACAAAAACTGCTGAAAGAGAAGTCTGGCAATCTCTCAGGTAAACCCCTACACTCCAAGGCAGAAGAGGAGTGACTACTTAATAAGATATTCTAATTCAGATTCTATAGTAAGATGTCTGTAATAGACCTCTGGACACAGAAAAAAAAAGGTGTCCTCGCGTTGTATCTAATTGGGAACTACTGATCTAGACAGTTTAGCTTGTGTCCTAAATGTGACCCAGTAATTTGAAATCTGTAATAAAATTACAATTTAATATCCTTGTTCCTGCAGTGCCAAAGACAGTGGTTCTAATTTGAATGAGTCTGAGCCATTTTTTCCAGAAATGATCAAGGTTACCAGGTTAACCCAATATAAAATGGGCACCAGGTAAATCCCTTGAAGTGGACTGGGAGATAGTCCACGACTCATATCTGTATGTTGTCTGCATTCAAGTGAATCAGATCTGTAAAACTGATGCACACGCAACACTCAGGTTCTGGAGTAGGACTGCAGTTCAGAAGTGGACGAACAACCAGAACTTTCCACCAGAGTGTACAGCTGGTGAACGCGAAGAAAAAGAAGAAGATATCTGTATGTTACTACTGGGAAGATGCATGCTTTCAAAATTTTAGTTTTGATTTCTTTGCTTAAAAATAGGGGCTTTTGAGCTGAAATGCATCATAAAGATTCTCAGAATACCATGGACAAAGAAGAGAAGAAATACTGACATTTTAAAAAATCTGAACATCAAAGAAGATTGGTTAATAAACAGAATCTTGTCTCAGAAGCTAAAATATTTAGGTAATATCAAGCGCCATGACGGATTAGAAAAAAACTTTTAATAGCAGGAGGCATGGTACCAGGAAGGAGGGGCAGGGGCAGACCAAAACGAAGATGGGCACAGGATGTACGTGACTCATTGAATATAAAAGTACATGAGGCGGGATAGCCGGCGAGACCAAGTTTTTTTTTCAAGCAGACGGTGATGAGAGTGACGTTCTGCACAGGACCTGCTGCATAATTATTGATTGACTGATAAATGTATTAAAATATGTCATACATAATCTGTTTATTCAGAGAATAATAATTTATTCTGGTAGGTCTTATGTTCAGGAACATACTGATATATGGCTGCTAAGGCATATGTCCAGAAACAAAAACTCAAGAACAAAACAAAAAAGTTAGTTAAAATCCATTTTGTGAAAGTGTCAAAAAAGTATTTTCCTCTATGTTTCCATTATTTATAATATAATTTAGCTTAAAAGTTAATATCTAAGCTTGGAATTAACATAGGGGCTTGAATAAAGTACGGTACCGTGGGATTTCTTTTTTTATGTGGAATGTGTCTTTGATAGTTCTGTTATTTAAAGTATTTCAGACAATTTTACCAAAGTACCTGTTTACATAGGGATAAAAAAAATTGGCTTTCCTCCAAATCTTCTTCTTCTTCACTTCCTCTTTTACCGCTGTGGGTGTCGAGGGAGATATAAGGTTCTGTTTCTGGCTCTTCTGGCCGCCTCGACCATAGGCACACCGTGCTGTTGTAGAGCTTCTCTGATGTTATCCTTCCATATTGTTCTTGGTCTACCTCTTGCTCTACGACCTTCTTCTCTTTCCATGTATGCTTTGTATGGTATGGTGTCACAAGGCATTCTCTCTAGGTGGGCAAACCATTTCACTTGCTGTCTTTGTATGTAATTTAGAATTGGTTCTGTGCCGACTTTTTCTCTTATGATGTCATTCCTGATCTTATCTCTTACGGTCACTCCTACAGCCCTTCTCAGACATCTCATTTCTATGGTTACTAATTTTCTTTTATGATTTGTTGTGAGTGATCATGTCTGGCACTGGTAGCACAGAGTTGGAATAAATATGCTTTGAATAAGATGTCTCTTTGTGCTGAATAACGGTCCCAAATTATCGAGGCCTGACAGGGCCTCAGTCACGTGCCAATTGCGGACTTCCGGGGACTTTACCACCACCGCCTAGAATATCCCCCACGCATCATGGATTGGGGTTAAACTAGATGGCTGGACTCACAAGCAAATAAAATTAAGGAAGCTGCAGGAGATGTGGTAGCTGCTGCTCGTGAGTCCCAGCCATCTAGTTTAGCCCCATCTACGCCGCGGCGGTAGCGGAAGTGCGCAATTTAAGTCGCCGGAAGTCCGCAATTGACACATGACTGAGGCCCTGTTAGGGTTTATTTTCGTCCTCGATAATTTGGGACCGTTATTCAGAGGATAGAAAAAAAAATAATTAAAGGATGCTGAAGAGAGCTGGCTGGCAAGAGACTTGTCATTGTAAAAGGCTTTTAAAAGTAGGTAGTAGTAGTAGTACTCTAGGGACTACAGTTTCGACAATTTGCGATCTTTTCGGCAATTTCCGCTACCCGGAAACCGTTCAGAACTTGTTCGGGAAATCTCGGCTGGTTTCCGGATGGGTCCAAATCTCATGAAAATTCGTGATTGGTGGGAATTTGGACCAGCTATAAATAGCTGGAAACAGCGTGGGGGAACCCGATTAACAGCGCATGTCTACGACAGCCGGACTCCTCTGTTTTTCTGTTAGTCATCAGTTTGATTGAAAATAGCAGTAAATTCGAGGTTGGCTTTAGGCCTTAAACATTACCAGTTGTGGTAATGCTAGTTACAGTTGAATTCTCCGTCCAATTTTACATTTGCATAAATAAATTTCTTTCCCGACTTTCGCTGTTTAGATTTACAGTGACATTTTTTAGGCAATCGCATGCGGCTGAGTCTCACTGCCTGCCATCTTGTCCAATGACAGTCCAATGTCAACAAAGCCGATACAGAACTGCGCAGTAGGTTGCGCAGTGAAAAACTTCTTGTTTCTGGGTCACAAGTTTTAGCGGCTGTTTCTTACATCTCATCTCCACAAAAACTTACATATCTCAGCTCAGAAATGACATACAAGCCTAAATGAGGTACCATTGGAAAGAGATTGTTTACAGTTATCTAAATGTGCTGGTTTTATTGGTGTAGAAGGCATTTTAAAAATTTGACTGAAGTACCTAAGTACTCGTTTTTCGACAATATCCTGTTTAACCCTCAGGGTTATAATTAATAAGGATGTATGTAGTGTTGGTTTCTCAGAGTATATATAATTGGTATTTTATATTTATATATCGTCTAATTATATAAATGACCAATATGAAAAATTTTAAAGCGTTACAAAAATTAAGCAAAAGTGTGTGTGTGTTGTTAAGTTACACTTACTGTTACTTTCAATGGGAAAATGAAAACGGAAGATAAAATCGAAAAATTGTTGCTTTAATTGTGGTATCGCATTATTTAAAGTCATACCACTTACTTGAATACAAAATCAAAGTAAAGTCTGCTTTAACAAAATTTTCCTAGCTCAAAAAACTAGTACTAGTTAGAAGAGACTACCTGATTCTGGTTGCCGGATCCGCTTGCCGGCGAGACATGCTACTCTTACTTGTCGTATTTCATTAAATTTGATAAGCAAATGACGGTTAAACACTAAAATTACTACATTCAGGTTTTATAAATTCATTTCCCTTACCCGATGACGTCTCCTTCAGCGCTCATTCCTTTCTTTTTCAAAGTTATGGAAAGTTTTTAGCAAAGACAAAACCTTTTAGTTAGACAGGACCACTTTGTCGTCTGGTGCAATACTCGACTGCTACAGTACCAGATACACGCACACGTGTTCTCCTTGTTTCTGTGTTTGGCTCATTTGTCAATATCTCAGTTAAACATAACAATTAATAGGGATTATCAGATTATCAAAGGACATTCTGTGTTTATTTTAACATGTATTTGTTTGAAATTTAAAAAAAAATTTTAATCCGCTACTTAATCGCACAATGTTGGTAAAAGTGTAAAAGTATCTGAATTTTTAGTGTACAATATTTGTCGAATCACAACCAAATAATATTAATAACGATTAAAAATTCATGAATGTCTTGAAGTAATTTTTATGCCATACATGAAAAAGCAAGTTTACACTCTAAAAATTGTATATCCCAGTTAACGCCGACGGTCTAGCAGAATATTTTTGTGAAAATTACTGCTGCATTTTCTTCTTTAGTCAATATCTACTTATGCCGCTTGGCGTCGCAGTTCACAAGTCGATCGGCAGCCGAGCCAGGGCGCCCTTAGTCGCTTGATATGACATGGTGTTATGCGGTCTCACGGTCTCAGTGACTCCTTCAATCTATAATATTCTCTGGCCTCTTGGTGTTTCGATTTTCATGTTGTACGCTCTTGCTGCTGGTATGGTTGGTTTCCTTTTTGTTACATGGCCGAACCATTTCATTCTTTGTTTCTCGATAAATTTGACGATGGGTGTTGTTTTACCAGTTCTTCTGGTTTTATTCACAGCCATTTTCAAACATCTCATCTCACAGATGATTAGTTTTCTTTCGTGTTCTTTTGTCAATGTCCAGATCTGACACTGGTAACCTAAAGTCGGTATAAATATTGTATTTATAATTAGTCTCTTTTTGTGTCAACTGGGATAGCAGAGTGTTTTAAAATTAGAGCAAGTTGGTGCGTGACATTGTTGGCTTGCTGCAGCTTCTCAATATTAAAAGATTCTCTTTTTAAAATGATATTTTAGTTACGTTTACCAAGCAACCGTCTCACATTCTTGTGTCGTTGTTGTAAGCAAATAAAATAATTATTGTGTCAATATACTGTGCGATAAATGCAATAAAATCGTAAAGAGGCGGTATAGAATGGTATAATATCAAATAGTACAATATCAACAGCATTGAGAAGTCCAATTTCATTTTTCTCTTCTACCCACAACCCGTCCCCCCCCCCCCCCAAAAAAAAAACTGTGCAGATAATACATGTATATACAACTGGTTTTTTTTTCCCATCCCTTTTAGTTTTGTAACTCTTGCTTTAACATTTAAAACAGACATAATTCTTGTAAATTTGGTTAGCATAATGTTTTGCGTTTGAAATTATGCCAGGTTGGCTGCAGTTATGTTCTCACTAAGATAACGCGTAAATAGGAAATCACAACTACATATAATATATCCAGTTTCGTCCTTTTTAGGATGACATTTTTTGTTATTTGAAGCCCCACCCTGGCTTTTGCCAGGGGCCGCAATATAGGCAGGCCATAAATATGGCCAATTGTCTGAACGCGGTTTCTAGGACCTATCCACGGCGATCCTCGTCCACATGGTGGCACTTTGTGTCATCGGGTGTTTATCGCTTGTGTGATGTCCTAGTGGGGTAGAAAGTCAGTCAGTCAGAGTATGAAAAAAAAAGGCTTTCACCGCCTAATTTCGTTTTGCAACACATACTTTATCTCATCTCTTATACCAACACAGTTTTAATCACATAATGTCCTCGTTTGGGTTTCGGGAATTTTTATGGAGAAAACAAGATTAGACCCACTGCCTCTTCAACAAACATGTCGTAGGAGTCGACTAATTGAGGACATCCTTCGAAGTCGGAGTGCATCTGCCCGAGAGGCAACGAACCACGGGTCTGCACACAGATAAGCCAGATCTGTCACACGGATGTGCACGCAACACACAAGTTCCTTAGGTGGACGAACACCCAGAACTTTCCACCGGAATCTACAGCCGGAAGAAGAGGAAAAATATTTTGATTTACATTAACAAAAGCAAAATTAATAACATGGCAAAAAATGTGGTTGATTGACACCATAATGCCGTAAACCTTAAAAAAGAGTAGAACAAGGAGCAGTCAGAAAGTGACAGGGGTTAGGAAAAAAAGGACAATTAAAATTATGAGGGCCATTCATAATTTTTATTGTAATAAACAAAATACCTCAATGATTGACATAAGACACTTAAGCAATCTAGACAACCAAGCAAAAGTACAGGCAGAAATGACGGCGAAGATGGCTGAGCTAATAACATCAAGTGACAATGTGGAAGCTGCGTGGCAAAAATTTAAGAACACTCTTCTGAACTGCCTAACAACACTCTGTGGTATTAGATACACAGGAGGAACGTTCAGGAAAAAAACAGCATGGTGGAATGATAAAGTAAAACAAGCAGTGAAATGTAAAAAGGAGCAATACAAGAAATGGCTAAGATCCCGCTCAGATGACGATTATATCAAGTACAGAATTGCCAGGCGACAATCTGCAAGAGAAATTAAACAATCCAAGGAAACATCCTGGATCATGTATGGGGAAAATCTTACCAAAATCTGTGCTAAATCTAGTAGACAGTTTTACAAAACCATTGCAAAAATGAGGACTAGAGATGAACCATTCCAGCCATCTGAATATGTCAATGATAGTCAAGGCAAACCATACATGAGGAGGGCAAGATCAGAGAAAGGTGGAAAGAATATTTTCAGACTCTTCTGAATGTAACAGGAAATGAGGAAACAGTACCATTCACACCCAGATGTACAAACGAGGAACAGCCTACAATAATCGAACAAGAAGTCAGAGAAGCAATCAGATGCAGTCCCAAAAATAAGGCATCAGGTGTTGATGGAATATCAGCCGAGGCAATACAGGCTTGTGGAGAAATTGGAGTCACCTGGCTACTCCACATATTTAGGAAAGCCTGGAATTAAATAACTGTACCAATAGACTGGCAAAGAGCCCTTATAGTCCCAATTTGGAAAGGAAAAGGCAATAAGCAAGATTGTAACAATTACAGAGGCATCTCCCTTCTAAGCCACGTAGGAAAAATGTTTGCCAAAATTCTGGAACAACGAATTAGATCCGTTGTAGAACCGATCCTGAGCCCATCACAGGTCGGATTTAGGAAAGGAAGAGGGTGTACTGACGCTATTTTTGCTTTAAGACAAGTTAGCGAAAAGACAATAGAACACAGACATCAAATGAACATCGCTTTCATAAATCAAGAAAAAGCTTTCGATAGAGTAAACAGAAATTTATTATGGAAAGTTCTTGAAAACTACGGTATAAATGGAACAATTTTAGATTGTGTTAGGGCTATTTATAGACAAAGTGAAAGCGCCATTAGAACAAGAGCTGGCATCACAGACTGGTTCCCAGTAACATCAGGAGTAAGACAAGGTTGTGTATTATCACCTTTACTTTTCATAATATTTATGGACAATATTAATAAAATAGACATAACACCAACAGATGTCGATAAACAGGAGGACTTCAATGAGCTGCTCTTTGCCGACGATCAATGCATATTTCACAGTGATAGTAAACAGCTGCAAGACCACATGAACCTACTACACGACAGTTGCCTCAAGCATCATATGAAGATCAATGCTGAAAAGACAGAAGTCATGAGCATAAGTAGAGAGCAACAGACCATCGACATAAAGATTCTAGATCACAGCCTAAAACAAGTGCAAGAATTTAAATACATGGGAAGTATCTTTACATCCAATGGTAAAATAGACAGAGAGATCGAAGCAAGAATCCAACAAGCCAACAATGTTGCATACCAGCTTGCCCCAATTTTAAAACACCCTGCTGTCCCAGCTGAGATAAAAAGGCTAATTATAAATACAATCTTTATACCGACATTAGGTTATCAATGTCAGACTTGGACATTAACAAAAGAACATGAGAGAAGACTAACCACCTGTGAAATGAGATGTTTGAGAATGGCTGCGAATAAAACCAGAAGAGATCGAATGAGAAACGATGTGGTTACAAGAACTATTGGAACCATACCCATCGTTAAATTTATTGAGAAGCAAAGAATGAAATGGTTTGGTCACCTAATGAGAATGGAACCAACGATGCCAGCATCAAGAGCATACAACATGAAAATCGAAACAACAAGAGGCAGGGGAAGACCAAGAAGAAGATGGATTGAAGGAGTCACGGACAACTTGAGACTTCATAACATCACGGCATATGAAGCGACTGAGCGCGCCCTGGCTCGGTTGCCGATCATCTGATAGACTGCGACGCCTAGCGGCACAAGCAGATTTTGACAAAAGAAGAAGAATAAACAAAACAAAAATTGTACTTATAAAAAGAAGTTATTATGGCTTGGAGAAAATGAGGCACCTGGGTGTAACCAGAGTATCTGGCCGGCTCACTACACTCAGAGGAAGGGCAAGACGGACATATAACCAGATTGTGACCGGTACCATCAGTATTGGAACTCTGCGCTGGCTGCTGAAGATGAGGACGGAGCACGCATGGAAATGCCCCGAGTGCTGTGATGTCAATTCTTGACTCAACTCATAGAAAGATAGAAGAACACACTAGACAACATAAAAATCGAAAGCTCTAGTTACCGTGCCGGGAATCGAACCTGTCACTTCCTAATGGCGTGTGTGCTTCGCTATGGAAACAAGTGTACTAAAAATAAAGGTGTCTTCATTGGTTATATCTATCACACAGCTTGAAATCCACAACCATGGAATACGGACAGAATTCATCTCAAACCATTTAGAACCATACATAATTTTGTTAGTGCGCTCGGTATCCTAAAAATTTTAACTACTGATGATGATGATATTGCGACCATCATGTGTGCTTTTATATAATATGTGGCATTGTTGATGCCAGTCAAAGAAAGTTGGGTAATTTTGTGTGAATTTTATGCAAAATTCATTCCACTGTTTGATACCAGACATAT